ATATATTACAAGCTGAATGGTGGCATTTGCCTTATCACTCTAGGAGGCCATGGCAGGAGGAGGGCAAGTTCCAGCACAGCCTAAGCCACTTAGCAAGATCCCATCTCAAAATTTTAAAAATTAGGGCTGGGGATTTAGTTCAGTAGCACCGCAACTGCCTTGCAAGCACAAGGTCCTGAGTTCGATCTCTGGAGCTGCCAAAAAAATTTTTTTAATTAGAAGGATGTAGCTCAGTGCAAAGGCACTGGGGTTCATACTGCAAAAATAATTTAAAAATTAAATGTACAAGAACCAAGTACAAAGCCCAGCTATCCTTATGTTTCTGAAGGACAGTAAAAGAAAACTACTGTATTTGGGGACTGGAGGTGAAGCTTAATGTTAGAGCACATGCTTCACACTCAGGAGGCCATCGATTCAACCCCCAGCGTGCCCTCCCTCCAAAAAGCTCAACTATTTTGAGGTTCCTCAGGACACTCATACCTATGAGCTAATGCAGTGATTCTCAAAGCCGCACTAGATATCACAAAGCTGAGTCAAAAATGAGTCCTTCCCCCTTTGTTGAGCTTTATTGAAGTATAATTCGTATATAAAACACACCACTTAAATGCACAATTGAATGGTTTCTAGTATATTTAAGATGGAAACAACTATCATCACAATTGATTTTAGACTTTCATCATCCAGAATACTACCTTTCAACAAATGGTGGGTGCTTGGAAAGTTAGATATCTGTATACAAAGGCATGAAATTGTGGACTGGGGGTGTAGCTAAATGGCAGAGTCCTTCCATATCATATTCAAGATCCTAGGCTCAATCCCCACCACTGAAGGGATGAAAAAGAATAAAACACTTTATACCACATTAAAAAATTAACTCAAGGCGGGGCGTGGTGGCGCACACCTGTAATCCCAGCACTCGGTAGGCTGAGGCATGAGGATCGCTGAGTTCAAGACCAGCCAGGGATACATAGTGAGTTACATACAGGTCAGTCTGGACTACATAGAGACCCTGTCTCAATAAATAAATATTAACTAAAAATGGACCTAAGACCTAAACATAAAATATAAAGCTATACAACTCTTATTTTCACAACCATATATTTTTACTTAACAATGCTGAGGTATAGACACATAAAAGTAGTTGAGTAGGGTGTGGTAGCACACCTATAACACCAGCTTTAGGGAGGCTGAGGCAGGAGGATTTCAAGTTTGAGACCAGCCTGGGCTACACAGTTATCACCCTCTCACCAAAAGAAAGCAGAAAGTCATTAACATAATAAATGGTTCTATGTATTTTACAACAGCTTTAAAAGACCATATACCTTTTGGTAATGTTCTCTGCTCTTTACCTAATCTCTCACCCTACCTTTAAAACAACCTACTCTGTCTCTATAGATTTGTCTGTTTAGGGTATTTCATAGAAGTGGGATAACAGAATATGGTTTTTTTGTGAGCTGTTTTGACGTCTTTCATTTAGCATGTTTTCAAAGTTTGTGCTTAGTATGCATCGCACCACTACTTCACTCCTTTTGGTTTTTGTTTTCCGTGGTCCTGAGAACTGACCCAGAGAATTACACAAAGCAGGCAAGCACTCTATCACTGAGCTATACTCTCAGCCCAGTATTTTCTGGTTTTTTGTTGTTTGGGGTTTTTTGGGGGGGATGGCATTACGGGGTCTAAACTCAGGGCCTTCGCATTGAACTGCCTCTCAAACCTTTTAAAATATTTTTATTCTTATTTTATGGTATCAGGAATCGAACTCTGGACGTTGTGCTTGCCAGGCAGGCAGTAGAACCAGAGCTAAAACCCCGGCCCTAAAATATTATTTTGAGACGGGGAAACACTAAATTGCGCCAGGCTGTCCCAAACTTGTGATCCTCCAGGCATCAGCCTCTCAAGAGTACAGGGATCACAGGCGCACTACTATACTTTATGGTAAAATATTCGTTGTATAAAAATCCCGCATTTGTGTAGCCATGATTAGGGTAGCTAGTCTAAATAAAATGACTAGTTTAACAGTTTCTCCAGCCCCTCAGGCAGTGAAGAAACCGTGCAAGTGAAACAAGAGTCGCAGGCTGCGTCATGAGTTTCGACGCAGAGCTAACAAAACCGGAAGAGCTCTCTGGAGGGGACTCGTGCTGGGAGGGGTCCAGGGATGTGCGCGTTGCATCATGGAGGATGTAGTCTCAGGCCGGACGCACCGCCTCTTAGGATTTTTAGTCCTTGGGCTGATAAACAGGAGGCAACTGACAAAATTCGAATTAATCCTTAGGGGAGGAGGAAGGAGCATAATCCTCAATGTCAGGCAGGTTCAAACTCCTTGGATCCATCTCTCTCGGTCCGAATCTGGAGGGACTAGAAGACCGGCCTGAGCAGGGAAGCGACGTCACGCGGGGAAGAAGCGTAGTGACGTCAATCTGACGCGAGCGTGCTCTACGGGGCTTTGGCGGGATTTCCGAAAGTCGCTGTTCGGAAAGCGCCCCTGGGCGGAAGACCCGGGTCAGAGCACAGCTTCGCCCGTGTCCAGCAACTTCGTGTAGGAGGTGAAACTCTACCTGGTGGAAAGCAGAAGGCCAAGCGAGGGAACTGAGAAGCTGCCGGTGTCGGGCGCGCAGGCCAGAGGACCGAGGCGGAGCAGCTGCGCGGCCATCTAGGTGAGTGGTCTCCCTTTCTCCCGCCGGACCCGCCCAGCCCGGGCGCCCGCTACCAGCTTTGGGCCTCACTGCGTCGGCCGAGGAACTGAAGATGGCGGAGCCCGGCCTGTCCGACCCAACTGCTCCTCAGAGCACCCGTGAGGAAAGCTGAAGCCTGTGGGCCTTCACGGCCAACGCTTGTTTTCGGTATTTGAGCTAGGAAGCCCAGCTCATCTCATTATGAAATAGCTGCGCGTACTGTTTAGAGATCAATCTGAAGTAAGATAAAGCTCACAACGTGAAATAACATATATTCACATAGTGCACTGCTGTAAACCCCTGAAACGTTACTGGAAACCTCTGCAGTAGGCTCCCGTCTCCTGCTCAATATACGACGCAAGCCTGAGAGAAAGAAATAAGACTGAAAGCGGGGAGCTAGGACTACCAGTGCGGGTGCAACCCACAAAGGTGCTGACCAATACAAGCCACTGATTTTTATTGGTAATTAATTGGGTTAAAGGCAAACTGACTACTTGGGAGGTTGCTCAAGTTTCTTTGGAAACTTTCTTTGGAGTAAAGGAAAAAGGGAAAGCATTCTCGAATTTGAAGCAGAATAGACAAAACATATGGTTGTAATTAGGACATTGTTTTTCTAGTTAAGAAAGTTTTAACTGTGGGAACAGAATTTGGGTGTGAGTTACTTTGACTTTGGACTCATTTCTATAAACAAGTCAGTTGTGGGGTTAACTCTTTACAGCCTGCAGTGCTTATTACAGCCTGCTTTGGGCATAATCAGTATTGCTGTCCCTGCAGTGCACAAAGTAAAAAGTGCACAGAGTACAAGTATGTACAGCACCATGAATCATAATGAAATGACCCAGGTCAAGAAACAGTGTGCTGTCAGCCGGGGATCCATGTCTGAGTCCCAGCACTCAAGTGGCTGAGGCAAGAGTTGGAGGCCACCCTAAACTACATATTGAGATCCTGACTCAGACAGACCAAAAAAAAAAAAAGGGAAAATGCTGTCGCTTGCCTAGTATTTTCCCCTCTTCTCCAGTAGTAATCAATATATTGAGTTCTATTGCCAATAGTTAACTTCTCGTTTTTGTTTTTACATATTGAGTGTTTAGTTGTTCCACATACTTGCCAACACATGGTATTTGTCTTTTTAATTTTTAGCAATGTGGTTTTAAGTATAATTTTCGTAATTACTGTGGAAGTTGGATATTCATTTTTCTTGGCCATTTGGTTACATTTTTTTCTAACATTGTGATTTGACTTTTCCGGGTCTTAATTGTGTCTTTTTGAGGGGATGGTACTGGGGGGGCGGAACAGAGGGCCTTGTGCTTTCGAGGTAGGTGGTGGCACCACTGAGCTAAATATCTAGCCTTAATGGTGTCTTTTGATGGCTAGAAGTTCTGAATTTAAATCTGTCTCTCTCTCTCTCTCTCTCTCTCTCTCTCTCTCTCTCTCTCTCTCGGAGGGCACTGCTGCTTTTTAGTGAGCTACATCCCCAACCCTTTTTATTTTTTAAGACTGGAAATTGCTAATCACTAAATTGTCTGGTTGCGCTTGGATTTACAGTCCTCCCTCAAGACTCCCAAAATGCTGCCATTAAAGACATGCACCACCAGGGCTGGGAATGTAGCTCAGTGGTTCCACCACCTTCCTTGCAAGCACAAGGACCCAAGTTCAATCCCTGGTTAAAAAAAGACATGCACCACCATACCTGATTTGTCCTGTTTTGGGTTTTTTTTTTTTCCCCCCTCTCTTTTCCTTTTTGATGCTTTACATCATGTATCCAGTTCTCTACCCCACAAGTCACCAAAATATTCTGCTGTATACTCTGGTGCATGTCTGTAATCCCAGCTTTGAGGGAGGATAAGGCAGGAGGATTACAAGTTGAAGTCTCACCTGGTCAGTATAGGCATACTCATCTGAAAAATACTGTAAAAGGGGTTGGGGATGTAGCACTGTGGTAGAACATTCCTAGGTTTTATCTCCAGCACTGCAAAAATAAAAACAAATACAAAAAAAAAAAACCTAGGTCATGAAAATATTCTGTATTCTAGGTTTTTTTGTGGTTTGGGGTTTTGTTTTGTTTTGTTTTGTTTTTGGTGCCAGGGATCTGAATCAGGACCTTGCAATTGCAAGACAGGTGCAGCACCACTGATCTAAATGACCAGCATGAAAATACTCTATATTCTGAAAACTTTTGTTTTACCTCTTACATTTAGACATATAATCTATAATGGAAATTGATTTTTTTAAAAAGGCCATCTTTATGCAGTGCTTTCTCATAAATTGTTAAAGGGAATATTTAAATTTCTTTCTGGGGTACTGAGGATTTGGCTCAATGGTTCCGCTGCCTGTCTGGCAAGGGCAAGGGTCCGAGTTCCATCCCCAGTACCAAAAAAATTTCCTTCCAGGGATTCTGATATATGGATTTATCATCAACTCAAGGCTTGCTAAATCTATCCTTTAAGAGTTCTGTGCCTAAACTAGACAAGAACAGACATATCTTTTGTCAAGTCTCCAAAAGTGAAGTTTATATCTTCATCTTTTAGGTTAAATTTGTCTGTATTTTCTGGGTTCTTTTCATGTGATTTAAATCCATTTATTCTTACTAACATAAAGACTTGCTCAATTTTACTAACATAATTTGAAGATAAAGTAAAAGTCTTTGTTCTCAGTCCTTTTCAAGCTACCATAACTGTCAAACTAGCTTACACCTAGATGCCTTATTTCAGACTGAGCAGAGTACCTTGGTTTTTTTATTTTGTTATTCACTGAAGGTGAAAATTGACTAAAATAGTGGTCTTTGATATATCATACACTCCTAGGACAAGGTAACATCCAGCCTCCTCACTGGCAATGGAACTGAAGCAGTTTAACTTTTCATCAGTTAAAAAAAATTTAAATTCTAGTCCTGGAAAGTCTGCCTACATTTACCAAACACCTAACATTTATAATGTATAGTGGATATGTGTAAAAATAAATAGACTGAGGGCCAGGGATTTAGCTCAGTGGTGCTGCCGCCTGCCTCGCAAGCCCAAAGACCCCAGTTTGAGCCCTGGTACCAAAATAAATAAATAAACTGGGCCCCTACCCTCTAGGAATATAAAACAGGAAAACAGAGGACATAGTTAATCTCATTAAGGTGTGCATCTGTAAGAAGCAGGGCGGACTGGCTCTTCTGGAAGTCTTTCTGATAATTAGCTGGCTAGCTAGAGAAGAGATTTGCTTTTCTTCCTACCATACATAGGACAACTTATCAAGTAGAGTTATTTCTCAGTGTTCTTGGAGGGCTGGTTCCGGAATCCCCTGCCTCCACTCAGATACCAAAATCTGAGGCTGTTTACTTCCCTTATGTAAAACAGTAATCTTTGTGAAAATTTCTGCACATTTTCCCACATAACCTTCAATCATCTGTAGATTTGCCTTTTATACGTAATATAATGTATATGGTTTATATGGTTGTTATATTGTTTGGGAGGATAGTAACAAGAATGTTTGTATGTGTTCAGTATAGACATTTTTAACCAAATACTCTCAGTCTACAATTAATTGAATCTGTCTTTTGTTGTTGTTGTTGAGTCTTCTGTGCAGAACCAGTGGATGAGGAGGTCTTCCAGACCCCTACAGTATTTCTCTCCTGTTTATGCCTACCTGTGTTTTTCAGATGGCCATGCAGATGCAGCTTGAAGCAAGTGCAGACACTTCGGTGGAAGAAGAAAGCTTTGGCCCACAGCCTATTTCACGGTTGGAGGTATGTTCTTAATTGCTTATTTTTTATTATTATGCTGTACTACATTCTTCTTCCTAATGGGTAATACCAGCCTTTATATAAACTATAGGTTTCTTTTGGTGGGTGGGGGGAGTCTGGTACTGGGGATCAAACTCAGGACCTTGCACTTGTGAGGCAGTTGGCAGCACCACTGAGCTAAATCCCCTGCCCTTAGACTTTTTTTTTTTTTTTTTGGTACCAGAGATCGAACTCAGGACCTTGCACCTATGAGGTAGGCAGCAGAACCACTGAGCTAAATCCCCGGCCCCTCATAAACCATAGGTTTGTTACTAAAGTCAAAACCCAAATTACAGCCAGACAAGGTAGCACACAGTTATACTTCCATCACTTGGGGGCTGAGGCAGAAGGATCAAAAGCTCAGGCCCAGCCTGAACAACCTAGTGAGACTGTCAAAAAATTAAGGGAAAAAAGGCTGGAATATAGCTTAATGGTAGAGTACTTCCCTAGCATGCATAAAACCCTAGGTTCAATTACTTCCACCCCCCCAAAAAAATTAGGGCTTCAGGAGGTTGTCAAGAACACCCATGAAGCCAGGCGTGGTGGCACACGCCTGTAATCCCAGCACTCAGGAGGCTGAGGCAAGAGGATCGCTGTGAGTTTGAGACCAACCTGGCCTACACAGTGAGTTCCAGGTCAGTCTGAACTGCATAGTGAGACCCTGTCTCAAAAAAACAAAAAAGAACACCCATGAAAAGGCTTGAGGTTATTGTTAAATGTGTCTGCTGGATTTCTTCTTTCATCAGTAATGCTCTTCCTACTTTATCATTTTTCCTTCCCAGAGATGAATTGTCAGAAATTAAGGCCTAGGACCCCATGGTGAAATCTCAATACTGCTTATACTAATAATGGAAGTACTGTCTGGAGAATTAAAGTGGCCCTGAACTAGTTATGCAGGGAGAAGGAAGTAGCTTTCCTCTGCTGACCCATGACTGCGCATAAGTTATCAGATAGACAGTTACCATAGGTAGGAAAAAAGACTTGGGTTTTTAAGGTATCAGAACCCAGCTCAAATTTGTGACTGCCTAAGAATGTGAAGCACCAAAGCCAAGGCTTCCCAGTATTTTTGTTGCACATCATACAAAGGCTTCACTGAGTACAAGTGATTTAGAACACAGCTGTGCTAACTACTATACCACCAACACCTCCTAAGTATAGTTGATTTGGGTTGAAAGAAGTAAGAGTGGAAGCTGGATTCTTCTGTCACCTTTTGCATTTTTTTTCCAATCTTCAACAAAGCTTCAGAGCCCTCGAAATTACTAAAGTGGATTTATGATAAATATTTGAGAATTATAACGTTGGGGGGCAGTACTTGAGATCAAATCCAGGACATTGCCCAGGCTGGGCTCAAATTTGCAGTCCATCTGCCTCAGGCTCCCAGAATGCTGAGATTACAGGCATATGCCCAGCTCAATGAGCACCCTTATATTCACAAATGGGTATTGCTTAAGTATTAATAGCAGACATGGTTTTTCTTGACACATACTAATCTCCTTTCTCCTGAATCCTCTTTGAACCCCAGATATATACTGGTTCCTCCCGTAACTCATGCTGAGTCCATGGTTCCAGTGGTAATGAAACCAAAGCACACCTTGTACATGGGGGGAAAAGGTGCTATGGTGTGATTTGCTTTGAGAAGTGGTGTAATGGTTATAGTTAGTGACCCAAACAAAGTAGTTTTCCCTCTTCTTGATGTCAGCTGTAAGAAAGGATATTGATACATCAATATAGTGCTCCTCTTAGCTTTGAGTCTTTCTTATCTTTTTTGCCCTAGCACAGTGTAAAAACAGGTAGCTTAATGTGGGAAGTTTTGTGAAACAGTTTTGGCAGTTTTGGGGGTGGGTAACCAGGGATCAAACTTGAGACCTTGCACTTGTGAGACAGGCAACAGCATCACTGAGCTACATCCCCGGCCCTTTGTGAAACAGTTTTAAAGTGACCTTTGAGGGCTGGAACTCTCAAAGTTCGTTTAGAGTTATAGTCAAAAACGGTTGGGAGTTACTGGTTTCATCCTAATTCCTAATGAGAATCTTCTCTTTTTTTCTGAGATAGGATCTTGCTATGCAATTCAGGCTGGCCTCAAACTCTCTAACTCGCTCACTCCTCCTGACTCAGCCTCCCAAATGCTGGAATTACAGGCTTGCACCACCATGCCTGGCTTCTTGCATTTTTAAAAAATGTGTATTCCTTGGCAATGTAAAATGAAAATGTACAGCTGATAGAGATAGGGAAGTAGAAATGAAGGAAGAAAAGATGGAAGGGTAAATGTCCTTGTAGGAAGTTAGGATACATAGTGTATAGTTGATAGACTAGGAGGTTAGGTATAAATATGTATTACATTGTCATAGATTAGGTGAAGCATATTATATGGGTCTATAAATTTTTATTGGTACTGGGGATTGAACTCCGGACCTTGTGCTTGTGAAGCAGGCATGGCACCACTGAACTAAATCTCGGCACTGGTTCTATAATTCTTTAACTACATGAGTAGATTACTTGAACTGGCAATTTAAAAATGGATCTTCTTGAGCTGGGGATTTAGCTCAGTGGATCTGCCGCCTGCCTAGCAAGCGCAAGGTCCCGAGTTCAATCCCCAGTACCAAAAAAATGGATCTTGTGTAGCCTGGGTGATGCCCTGGGTTCAGTTCTTAGCAATAACCCCCCCACCCCCGCCACAAAAAAAAAAACACCTATATGGAGTCTGAGTCCATCCTTTATGATGACTTATTAAAAATGTATTTGTTATATAGTTCAGGCTGGCCTTGAATGCAGAGGTCCATTAGCTCAAATCCACCTGCCTCAGCTTCCTGATTGCTGGGATTACAGGTATATGCCACCACACCCATCGATCTCCCTGGTCTTTTTTTTTTTCCCCCCCCTTAATTATTTGAGACAGTCCTGCTAAATTGCCCAGGATGGCCATCAACTTGGGATCCTCTTTCCTCATCTCTGAATAATGTATCTGGAATTGTGGGCATGTGCTGCCACACTCAGCAAAAGTCCCCTTTGATAAACGTGGGATAGTGCTAGTTTAAAACTACTGTTTTTGATAATGTGTTATATAATACTTCATGTAGAAAGCATACTTCTCAGAACTTGTGTGTGTAATACAAGCCTTGATATATTTCTGCAAAACAGGTTGATCACAGTTTTTATGTTAGATGACAGAGTTGAAGCTTAAAGGTTGCTATGGTTTTATTTACAGCAGTGTGGCATAAATGCCAATGATGTGAAGAAGTTAGAAGAAGCTGGATTCCATACTGTGGAGGCTGTTGCCTATGCACCAAAGAAGGAGTTAATAAATATAAAGGGAATTAGTGAAGCCAAAGCTGATAAAATTCTGGTAAGTATGAGCCAGGAATTTAGCTCAGTGGTTCTGCCGCCTGCCTTGCAAGTGCAAGTACCCGAATTCAATCCTCAGTACAAAAAAACAAAAAAAACAAAAAACAAAAAAAATTCTGGTAAGTACAGCTAGGGACGCATTAGTAGGCATAGTAAAAATAGGTTTATAGTGAAAGGTAGTCTTTCTCCTGCCCTTCATTTTGTCATCCTGTTTCTCATTCCTAAAAGTGACTATCACCAGTTTCTTTGTATGTCTCATTGCATAAACTCAGATTTTCTGTAGAGAATTGCATTATCATGCAGTTTGACATAAATGCCAAAAAACTGATGATCAATCTACATTTCCACCAGTAAAGATTGGTGTATACCTTATCTTTTTAGATGTTATGATCCTATATCCTGGAAATATATTCATCAGCTGGGCATGGTGCATTGACTTGTAATTCCAGCTGTTTGGGTTTTGTGTTTGTTTCTGGTTTTTTTGTTTGTTTGTTTTGGTACTAGGATCAAACTCAAGGCTGGGGGCTGGGGATTTAGCTCAGTGGTTCCACCATCTGCCTCGCAAGTGCAAGGACCTTAGTTTGATCCCCCCGCATACCAAAAACAAAAAGCTCAAGGCTTGCTCTCTTGGTAGGCAAGATCCCTACCACTGAGCTACATCCCCAGTTAATTCCAGCAACTTGGGGGACTGAGGAAAGAAAATCATCATAAGTTCTGGTCCAAACTGGGTAATTTAGACTGGATCAAAACAAAAGTATTAAATATAAAATCAGGGCTGGGCGCGGTGGCACACACCTGTAATCCCAGCACTCAGGAGGCTGAGGCAGGAGGATCACTGTGAGTGCAGTACCAGCCTGAGCTACATAGCAAGTTCCAGGTTAGTCTCAACTAAAAAGTGAGAATCTGTCCCAAAAAAACCAAAACAAATAAACAAAAATATGTGTAAAGTCAAGTATAGAGATGCACACCTGTTATCCTAGCAAACTGGGAGACTGAGGCAGGAGGAGTATAGGTTCAAGCCCAACCTGTGCCACTTAGACTCAAAAAAGTAAAAAGAACAGGGGATGTAGCTCATTATAAGGTCCTGGGTTCAATTCCCAATACCACCAAAAAAAATTTTTTTTTAAAGGCTGGGGATATACCTCAGCAATAGATCATTTGCCAAACATATGTGAAGCCCTATATACAAGCCCCAGTACCACCCAAAACAGACTATCACTGGGGAGTGGGATTAAATCAGTAACACCTATACTAACAGGTGCCCACAGCCTAGCTTCATCTTTGAAGTTTTATATAGCATAAGCTGAATAATTATAAATTATATTTCCCTCTATTATAAAGTATAAAGCTTACCTTTACACTTTTGGAGAAATGTTCTTTTAAAAAAAAAAAATCAAAGGCTAAAGAATCTTCAAAAAGAAAGCCAGGTGTGGTGGTGCACACCTGTAATCCCAGCATCGGGAGGCTGAGGCAGGAGGATTACTATGAGTTTGAGACCAGCCTGGGGTACACAGTAAGTTCCAGGTCTGTCTCAACTACATAGACCCTGTCTCAAAAAACAAAACAAACAAGAATCTTCAAAAAGAATGTGTTCTTTATTAATGAATACCTTCATTACATTATGTTTTGCCATGTAACTTAGATTAAAAACAAATTTAACATTTAGCCAGATGGTGATTTGCACCTATAATCCTAGCACTGGGGAGGCTGAGTTTGAGGCCAGTCTATAAAGTACATAGTGCAGCCCTATCTCAAAATCCAACTTTTGGTATACTTATTTAATGTCTCATCATAAGTTAATATATGTAATCCATATTATCTCGCTGTGGATATTCGTCAGGGGTTTTGTTTTTGTTTGTACTTGGGATTGAACCCAGGTCCTTCACACTTAGCTTCATCCTCAGCTTTTCCGATAAGGTCTCACTAAGTTGCCTAGGCTGGGCTCCAGTTTGCTGTCCTGCTGCCTCAGCCTCCCAGAGTGCCTAGATTGCAAGAGTACACCACCAGACCTTGCTGGCTGGGTTCTGTTTGTTTATTATTATTTTTGTTTTGTTTTGTTTTTTGGGTTTTTTGTTTGTTTGTTTGTTTGTTTGTTTGTTTTTTGCAACAGGGTCTCAATATATAGCTGAGACTGACCTGGAACTCACTATGTAGCCCAGGCTGGTCTGAAAAATCACAGTGATCCTCCTGCCTCAGCCTCCCAAGTGCTGGGATTACAGGTATGTGCCACCATGCCCAGCTATTATCATTTTTTTTTTTTTTAAGGCCAGACTGAACTACATACACACAGCAAGACTCTGTCTCAAAAATTCAAAATGAAAATAAAGAATATATATTGTCACAGTAGAGAAGACTGTCTCCAAACTGGGAGGGGGGTCGCATTTTAAGACTATAAATCAAAAAAGGTGAGAAAGGTTATGAGTGAAGTAATTTATTCAGCATGTGCTAGATCCTAGCCAGACATGGTAGTGTGTGCCTGAATCCCAGATACTCAGAGGCTGAGGCAGGAGGATCACAAGTTCTGAGGCCAGCCTGGCCAACCTATTGAGACCCTGTCTCAAAGTAAAAATTTTAAAAGAGGGGAGGCTAATGATGTAACTATTTGGATTCAATCCTCAATGTCACCAAAAAGGAAAAAAAAAAAGCAAAATCTAAGAGTGGCTTCAATTCAGATACTCAGTAAAGGAATACCCAGAACAATAGAAGCCTAGAATTGCAGTCTTGGTTGGAGAACAAATGAAGATTTCTATTATTTATTTATTATTACATGTGCATGTGCCAGACCATAACGTGCATGATAAGTGATAAGCACACACTGCGTATAACACTGAGCTACATATCCAGCCACAGGAATGAGGATCTCAGGTGGAAAGGGGTCTTACATGCAGTAGAATACATATTAAGATTGAGAGACTAGGAAAACAACAAATGATACAGTCCGGCTGGAGATTTAGCTCAATGATTCCGCCACCTGCCTCAAAAGTGCAAGGTCTGGAGTTGGATCCCAGGTACCAAAAAAACAACAACAAATGATATAGTCAGAGAATGCTAAAGAAAAAGAGAAATGTTCTGGTATACAGGGGGGGTAGAATGACTTTGAAAACTGATGGCAGATTGAAAAATAGTTCATTTAGATTTGAAAATAGAAACCTTTGAGAAACAAAGCATTGATAATATTGGAACATTATGCACAGAATTGTTTTTTGGGGTGTTTGTTTGGGACAGGGTCTTGCTATGTAGTTTAGCTGGCCTTGAACTCACCCTGTTGCCCAGGCTGGCCTCAAACTCATGGCGATCCTCCTGACTTAGCTTCTGGAGTGCTAGAATTATAGGTATACATCACCATACCCAGCAAGAATTGTATTTCTAGCACACTATTCAGTTCTGCAGTGAATTATATTTACAAGTTACCTAATTTGTTGACTTAGAATTATTCAAAGTAGTCCCTTTATAATTAAATTATTTTTATTTCTGTGAGAATGGTAGTATTACTCCTCTTCATTACTTTTTTGTTTGGTTTGGTACCAGGGATTGTACTTGGGACCTTGCACTTGTGAGGCAGGTGGTGGCACCACTGAGCTAAATCCCCAGCCCTATTCATTTCTAATTTAAGCAGTTAAAGGCTTCCTTTTTGCTGTTGGCCTATGTAGATAAATGTTTGTCAGTTTTATCTTTTCAAGAAACCAACTTTTGGCTTTTTTTTGTTTGTTTCGTTTTTTTCTATATCATTAATTCTGTTCTAATTTATATTACTTGTCTGCTTGCTTTTTACATTGTTTACTTTTCCCAGTATCTTAGGTTATAATTTGAAGTCTTTACTAGTATAGGCATTTACAGCTATTCTCTCTAAGCAGTACTATTATGCTCTTAAGTTTTGCTGTGTCTTCATTTTCATTCATTTCAAAGTAGCTTTTAGTTTTTTTTAGTGACTTTTTCTTTGGTGATTATGTAGAAGTGTGAGGTTGAATTTCTGCATATTTCAGATTGTACTTGTTTATTTATGCATTGCTAGGTATCAGTTCCAGAATTTTATATGTGCTAGACAAACACAATACCCCTGAGCTATACCCTACTCCTGCATTTTATTTATTTTTTTATATACATATATATTTATTTATTTTTCTTTTGGTTTTTAAAGACAGAGTCTTGCTATGTAGTTCAGGCTGCCCCTTCAGCTCACTGTGTAGCCTAGGCTGGCCTCAAAGTTGGAGCCATCCTTCTGCCTGAGCCTCGAAAATTCTGGAATTACAGGCATGCACCACCATGCCTGGCTTCCTGCATTTTTTAAAATGTATTTATTTGCATACTGGGGATTTGACCCTATCATAGATAACATCTGTGGTTACCAGATAGGGTGCAGATGTTTTCAACCTTGGCAATGAAAATGAAAATGTAAAGCTGATAGAGATAGGGAAGTAGAACTGAAGGAAGAAAAGATGGAAGGGTAAATGTCCTTGTAGGAAGTTAGGATACATAGTGTATAGTTGATAGACTAGGAGGTTAGATATAAATATGCATTATATTGTCATAGATTAGGTGAAGCACATTGTATGGTTCTTTTTTTTTTTTTTTTTTTTTTTTTTTTTATTTCCTGTACTGGGGATCGAACTCAGGACCTTATGCTTGTGAGGCAGGAGTGGCACCACTGAGCTAAATCCTCGGCCTGGTTCTATAATTCTTTAGCTACATGAATAGATTACTTGAATTGGCAATTTAAAAATGGATCTTCTTGTGTTACCTGGGTGAAGCTCTAGGTCCAGTTCTTTAGCAACATCAAAAAAAAAAAAACCAACAACAAAACCCTTTTATGGAGTCTCAGCCCATCCTTTATGATGACTTTTAAAAAGTATATTTGCTATTATAGTTTAGGCTGGCCTCAAATGCAGAGGTCTTCCTGCTTGTGTGCACCACCATGCCCAGCAGTGACTTTTTTTTGGCAGGGGGCGGTACCAGAGATTGAACTTGGGCCCTTGTATTTGCAAGGCAGGTGGCAGAACCCCTGAGCTAAATCCCCACCAAGCAGTGACTTTTTAAAGAGAAATCATTCTGGAAGTTTTCTTAGATGTTTTCTCTTCCCTAGTTCTTGTTTTACTAATTTAAGATGATCATCCCTAATCCAAAATACTGAAATCCAAATTGCTACAAATTTTTTGAGCACCAATATGGCACTTAAGGGTTAAGATTTTGGAATTTTTGGGATTAAGGATATTTGTTTTTTTGTTTTGTTTTGTTTTGTTTTTTAAGGATATTTGACTTGTAAATCCTATGCAGGAATCCCAGTCTACCTGGGGGTGGTAGTGCATGCCTTTAATCCCAGCTCTTGCAACTGAGATGGAAGGATCAAGGATAGCAGAGAGCTGAAGGCCAGCCTAAATTACATAGTGAGACCCTGTCTCAAAAAACAAAACAAAACAAAACAAAACAAAAAATTCTGGTCCCAAGCACTTCAGATATGAGTTACTCAACCTGTGTTTTGTTGATTTAACATTTCTTATTTTCCCCAGGCTGAGGCAGCTAAATTAGTTCCAATGGGTTTCACCACTGCAACTGAATTCCACCAAAGGCGGTCAGAGATCATACAGATTACTACTGGCTCCAAAGAGCTTGACAAACTACTTCAAGGTATAGTTCTCCTTTAATCTCTTGCTGTAAACTGTCAGCAACACATTCAGGATACAGAATAAAACTGAAATTATTGGGTAGGCTTTACTTGTTAGATGTGACTAAGAGATATGAGAAGAATCCACATTGAAGGAACAGAACTACTACAGGGTGAGACCTGACTTAGGAAATGCTAAAATTATCTGCAAATTAAATAATTTTTTATTAATTAGTTTTTTTTGTTTAGTTTTGTTTTTAGACAGGGTCTCATCTTAGGTAGTCCAGGCTGGCCTTAAATTCACTATATAGCTTAGGCTGGCCTCAAACTCCAGGCAATCCTCCTTTCTTAGCCTCTTGAATGCTGGGATTACAGGTATGTGCCATCATGCCTGGCTTCTGCATATTAAATAATTTAATCTCTGTTTAATATTGTGTGTTGAGAATAAGCTTCCTCTGCTTAAAGAAATAACTGTAATTATCTGTTTCTACAAGGTTAAAAAAATTGATTGGATAAAAAGTGTGCATGTGTGTTTAACTTGGGATTGGGTTCTTTATCTGATTGTCTTACTTTCTTGTTGCGGGAACAAAATACCCAACACTCAAAATTTAAAAAGGAAAGGTTTATTTTAGCTCACAGTTTATAGAGGTTTCATTGCAGTCAGCTGGCTCCAAGGCAGGGCAACATATCAGAAGAGAAACCATTCAGGGCATGGCGAGCAGGAAGCAGCAAAGCAAGTGAGGCTCCCTTTCCCTTTTATCTCATCCAGGCTGCAAGCCTATTGGTGCATACCCAGGGTGCGCCTTCCTCCACACCCAGAACTATGCTAAATCAATCAGAGGACTAACATCCTTAATCCATATTTACACATCCATGATCTAGTCACCTCCAAAAAACCCCACCTTGAGCACATAGGCTTTGGGAGGACATCTACATACAAGCTATAATGCTTTTCTCCCTTTTGGTGGTACAAAATAGCATAAGTTCAAGAATCAATCTCGACAAATAATAAATGCAACAATAGGTATAGTTGTACACACTTAGAATCCCAACACCTGAGAGGCTGAGGCAGTAGGATTGCAAGTTCAAGGCCAGCCTGAACTGTAAAGCAAGACCTTGTCTCAAAAAGGCAAAAAAATGAGCATGTATCACAATACTAAGTACATAAAGTTAGAAAATATTTGATGATATTATTTACATTCTTCTTTTTAAATGGCTTTTTGTGGCGGGGGGTACCAGAGATCCAACTTGGGTCCTTGCATTTGCAAGGCAGGCAGAAAAATGGCTACTTTTAAATGACACAGGACGGGCCAGTTCTGAATCTTGAATGTGGTAGTAGTTACATGAAGGTACACATTGGATAAAATTGCCCATAACTATATATCCAAACATATGAATGCATATGTAACTGGAGAAATCTGAGCAAACTTTTTAGATTGTACTGATGTCGGCATTAGCTATGCAAGATGTTGTCATTGGAGGAGGCCAGGTGAAGAGTTCACTTTTCCATACTTTATAACTTTCTTTAAATCTATAATTATTTCAAAATAAGTTTTTCCTGGAGCCATGGGTGGTGGTGCACACTTGTAATCCCAGCACTCAGGAGGCTGAGGCAGGAGGATTGCCTGCAAATTCCAGGCCAACCTGGGCTACATAGTGAAACCCTGTTCCAAAAAAACAGCAAGTTTTTTTTTTGGTTTTGGTTTTTTGAGACAGGGTCTCACTTACGTAGCGAGATGGACCCGGAACTCACTACATAGCCCAGGCTGGTCTCAAACTCACAGCGAACCTCCTGCCTCAGCCTCCCAAGTGCTGGGATTACAGGCGTGCACCACCATGCCCGGCTATAAAACAATAAGTTTTTACCAAATAACTGCTTCTTAGAAATTGGATTTCTGGACTTGGAATTTAGCTCAGTGGTTCCCACTGCCTGCCTTGCAAGTACAAAGTTCCGAGTTCGATCCTGGATACCAAAAAAAAAGAAATCGGATTTCCAACTTCTGTAAATATCTTTCTAAAGAGCTCCAAGAATATTTCTGTGATTATAGTTTGTAAACCCTTGTTTGTTTTTCTTTATTGGTACGTTTTAGGTATACTGTAAACCCTCATATTAAGTGTTTCCAGGCTGGGGACTTAGCTCAGTGGTTTCACTGCCTGCCTTATAAGTGCAAGGACCCACGTTTGATCCCTGGCACTAAAAAAGAAGTGTTTTCTGTTGCTTTTCTAGGCGGAATTGAGACTGGATCTATCACAGAGATGTTTGGAGAATTCCGAACTGGGAAGACTCAGATCTGTCACACACTGGCTGTCACATGCCAGGTGAGCTTTGGGGCTCTTGCTGATCAAATCAGGGATTGGTTGACTCTATTCTTGGTAAGCATCTGTTAGGATGTACGTAATAAGCACCTTCTCTGTCCTTGGAATCCTATTGCTTGGTAGAAGATTTCTGCAAACTCTGTCAGACCATAGAAATTTCGAATTCACCTAACTTCAGGTACCATCCTGTAGTCCTCTCCTGGTTTACTGCTCTTTTCTTCCTTAGCCTACATTTTATGTTACCATTTAAAACATTGTCCTTCACAGATGCTTGAGCTTACATACCTACTTGGAGACACCAACCTTAACATCGACTCCAGCTACTTTCTTAGTACTTGAACCCAATTTTTTTGCTAATAATACTGAAAAAAAGTCATACCATAAAGCTAACTGACTTCACTTGAAATTCAAGATGACTACTAGGATTAGTATTCATTACAGCATGGCTAATCTGAGTTTCCTCCATTAAGGTTATACTTTGCCACCCAAATGAATAATCTCATGTTTTGTCTCCTCAAACCTTCATAGTTGTTTTCAACCTTCACTCTAAGCCACTTTTCACATCAAATGTATGAATTCAGCTGCATTTGTACCCATCTTTTCCATTCAACAGCCCTCCCTTCCCTGTGTGATCTGCTTGCCATCTCCTGATACCATCTCATGTGCTCTACTTCCATTTCCTGGTTTACTTCTCTTAGATTAATTTTTGCAAATTTGAGCCCAGCCTGGGCAACTTAATGACTTTGAGACCCTATCTCAAAACAAAAACTTTTTAGAAGGACTAAGGTTGTAGCTCAGCCTGAAAACTCAGTTCACTCCTCAGTACTTCAAAATAGGTGAAATACCACCCTCTGGGAATTTAGTGCTAGAATCCTTGTCTAGCTTGTGTGAGGCTCTACCTTCAATCCCTAGCACTGGAAAAAATAATTACCCTGACATGGGTCATTAAACATGTGTGGCCTTTAAAGTAGAAATATTTTCCCTGTGTTTTTGACAACTTTGTGTTGCTGGAGATTAAACTCAGGGCCTTAAACATGGAAGGTAGGTGCTCTACCACTGAGCTTCATCTCTCTGCCTCTACCCTGTGTTGTTCAAACAGAATATTTAAAGCACAGTGCAGTGCTCACTTCAGCAGCACATATACTAAAGCATGCATAGTACACGTTTCTGTCATTACCATAGCAACTCAGGCTATCACAGTGCGGCTCTAAAGTTGTACAGATAGAATCCTTAGCTTGAGGGTGTTTATTAGGTAGTCAAAGAATGCCTATCAACAAATTGAAACAAAATTCTCAAGAAAACATGGGGCTCTTTATAAAAATAACGTTTGCAGGTTGCTATGTCAAAGAACAACTGTGACCTTTGTCATTTTTTCTGGAGAAAAAGAATACAAATAATAATGGAAAGGATTATATGTCATCAGATTAAGTTGTGGAACCAGAAGTACAGAAGATACTGGATTGCTACTTAAATCTAAATATCTGCTGTCATTGTTCAGATATTCTCAGTTCAGTGAAATAAAACCTCATTAAATACTAGATTTTTGTGTTTGTTTGTTTTTGTAGTGGGGATCAACTCTGGACATTGCACTTGCAAAGCAGGTGGCAGCACCACTGAGTTAAATCCCTGGCTCTATATTAGATTTCTTAATGATAAAGTTATATAAAGTTGAGAGGCATAATTAAGTTACAGAAAATAATACAGCCCATGTGTGTTCAAAGAATAATTTTTAAATTCTGAGGTTAATAATTTAGAAGTGCCAGTCTTTAAAGCACATGCTTCTTTTGGGTTTTTGAGATGGTGTCTCCCTACGTAGTTCAGGCTAGCCTTGTGCCTTGCTATAATCCTGCCTTGGCCTCCTGAATGCTAGGATTACAGACATACACCACCATGCCCAGCTTTCAGAGTGTTCCACATATGCCCAAGGATGAATGTATAGACTGTACCATAGCATTATTAAAATTATAAAAGTAAAAAACTCACTGTAAGAAGCAAAGTTAAATTAATATACTAAGCAATTTTCGTGGGTTTCCTTTTTTTTTTTTTTTTTCCAGCTTTAATTGAGTTTATTATTGGTACATTTTAGGGATACAATACAGTTACATTCATCGTTGGGATCTTGTACCTCTACATGACAAGTCTTGATTCTCATTTCTTCCCCTTACCCCTGCCCTCCCCCCCTCCCCTCCCCATCTACAAACAATTATTGGTACATTTTAGGGATACAATACAGTTACATTCATCGTTGGGATCTTGTACCTCTACATGACAAGTCTTGATTCTCATTTCTTCCCCTTACCCCTGCCCTCCCCTCCTCCCCTCCCCATCTACAAACCCTTTATTTTCATCTTTTCATTATCTCACATTTTTTTCTTTTCCCTTATTACCCTTCCCCTACCCATCCCACCTTCCCTACACCTTTAGTGGGTTTCCTTTTTAATTGGGAAATTAAATCCAGGGCCTTGGCACTGAGCTACATCTTCAATGGTTTTGTTTTGAATTTTTGGTACTGGGGATCAAACTCAGGACCTTGCACTTGTGAGGCAGGCGGCAGAACTACTGAGCTAAATCCCCGACCTGTTTCGTTTTGTTTTTGAGATAGGGTCTTAATATATAGTTCAGGCTAGCCTCCAACTTACAGTGTTACTCTTGCTTCTTCCTCCTGAGTGCTGGAATTATAGGTTTGCACCACTATGCCCAGCTTTAGCCCTTTGTTTAACTGTTTATTTTGAGACAGGGTCTGGCTAAATTGCCCAGGCTGGCTTCAAAATTGCAGTCCTCCTGTCTCAGCCTTTTAGACTTCTGGGATTACAGAAGTGGTCCATCACATCCAGCTCCAAAGGTGTTACTGAAAACTGCTAATCTGATGGTGTCCCAGCCTGTAAAACAAAATGGCTACAGGGCAAGGTAGAGGGCAAAATAGGCTTCATAACAACATGTAGTCCATCCCCTTGCATCTGCCCCAGGCTGCCACCAGCCCAACTATACCTTGAGATTTTGTCTAGTCCCTTGCTCTTAATCTTGTACCTAATCATCTACAGCCTCCCTTAGGCCTAATGAGGTCCACCCAGGTGTAAAATGATCCTCTCATGAGCTGAGTGTGGTGGTGCCTGCCTGAAATACCAGGTAGTGGGGAGGCTGAGGAAGGAAGATCTCTAACCCAGTGTGCGCAGTTTTGTAGGACACTTGGTGGCTAGATGATGTACCCCAGTGCTCAAAGACTACGGGTTCAATCCCCAGTCCCCTCTACCACACCAAAAAATGAATCCTCTCACAATAACACTGAGGATAGCAGAAGTTGAGGGAAAGGGGGCCCCTTCATCTTATTTCCTGGAGACTTAGTCCCCAAAGTATCCAGATTTCCTATTCTCCAAAAACCTGAGGCAACTTCTGTGTTCTTTTCTATTGGCTAATGGCTCCAAATCCCTCATCTATCAAAATTCTCCTCACCATCTCCCCTTCTCATTCAGAGTCTCATTGAGTTGTCCAAGCTGCCATTGAGATTGTGACCCTCCTGCCTCAGCCTCCTAGAGTGCTAGCATTACAGGCGTGTTCCACAACCAGCTCAAGGCTCTCTTTAATTGTATACATGTCCTTTGTTCACTCTATGCATTCCCATGATACAGAGGATTTTTACCCATCGACCCGCCAAATGCCAATGTAATTTTCCCTTTCTGACTAATAAAGCAGCCAGGCATGGTGGTTCATGGGCATTTTAGTCTGTCTCCAAGTAAAGAATTAAAAACCATCTGGGACATAGCTGTGTGCAAAGGCTTTGCATTCAACCACTGCTGCAAAATAAAATAATGAAATAAGACAGCCTTCTATAAATGAGTATTGAGTAAAATCAGTCCTCTAAATGTCAGAGAAATCATAATTTCAAAGCATATTTTCTGTGTTGTCACCATTTAAATGATTTACATTATTTCATTTACTTTTTTAAAAATCCTGGGTTTTATCTGCATTTTTCAAAAAGGAACCTGGGCTACATAGTGAGCTCAAGGGCAACCTGAATGACATAGTGCAAGACCTTGACTCCAAACAAAAATTGTTTTTTTCCTTTTCATTTTTAACATCTCTGTGGTAGTGGAGTGACATCCTTTTCTTTCTTGTTCATTCTTTCAACTTGGCTAAGGATGCTTCTGTGTCATTGACAGGCCTTGTTAAAACCCTGAGGAATGAACTCTGCTCAGTGAATAACTGAGGTTTGTTCTGGACATGTTGGGGCTAATTGGGTATCAGGTCAGGGTCCCTCTCTCACTGCTTAATCACTTGGGTTGCATTTCCAAGCAGTGCAACTGGGACAAGGCTTTGCCTTGGTATGCTATGAGACATGCTTCATGTCTACTGCTGGCTGGATTTCAGTGAAATGGGAATGCTTCCTTGCCTTTGATTGTCATTTCCGTATGTTGTCCTTTTATTGGGAGTGAAAGGAATTATAGACTCAAAATGAGAAAATGGATCAACTCTGTAAGAAATATGATCATTTCAATTGTTTCCTTTTTTTTTTTCCTCTTTAGCTTCCCATTGACCGAGGTGGAGGTGAGGGGAAAGCCATGTACATCGATACTGAGGGTACTTTTAGGCCAGAACGGCTCCTAGCAGTGGCTGAGAGGTGGGTTACTAAATTACACGAGAGGATATGTATTGTTGCCAGGGTTTTGACTGGAGAATGTCTCATTGCTCTGTATGGGACCTTCTTTAGATAATTAAAATAATCATTTTGGGCCAGGGATTTAGCTCAGTGGTTCCTCTGCCTGCCTCGCAAGCACAAGGACCTGAGTTCAATCCCCAGTACCAAAAACAAAAAAACATAAGGGCTTAAAATAGCAATTCATCAGGAAGACATACCTAACAAGAGCCCCAAACTGCATGAAACAAAAATTGATGTAATTGGAGGTTAAAAAAAATTCATAAAACTAGTGATAAAAGGACAAATACTCTGATGTAAAATCATACTTATTTGAGATGCTTAGAATCTTCAGAATCACAGTGACATTGGGTATTCTAAACAGTGACATTGGGTACATTCTAAAAGCACAATCCATGAAAGAATAAATTATGAATCAGTTTTCTCTTCATTAGTATTAAAAACCTTTGTGAACCAAGAAAGTGAGGGGAGGTTGAGTCAGGAGGATTTAAACTTTGAAGCAAGCCTGAAACTATGTGAGACTTGTCTCAAAGGCATAGTGGTGCACACCTATAATCCCAGGGCTCTAGCAGGCTGAGGCAGAAGGATTGCAAGTTCAGGCCCTGCCTGGACAATTTGGTGACTTAGATCCTGTGTCAAAAAGGCTGAGAATGTAGCTCATTGTGAAGGCCCTGGGTTCAGTTCCTAATACAATAAAAATAAAATGATATAACATTTTTATAAAAGGGCTGGAGATATAGCTCAGTCCCCCTCCCCAAGAAAGAAAGAAAACCCAAAGAGTGTAAGAACAAATTCACAAATCATCTATTTGGCAATAGTTCAGTATTGAGCATGTATAAAGAACTCTGACAGCCCAGCAACAAAAAGATAACCCAGTTTTTAAAATTAGCAGAGAATTTTTTTGGCCAGGGATTTATATCAGGTGTTCTGCCGCTTGCCTCTCAAGCACAAGGCCCTGAGTTCAATCCCCGGCACCAAAAAAAAAAAAGAAAACAGAATTTGAATAGATATTTCTCTAAAGAGGATATACAAATGGCTGATGAGTACATGGACCACATATTCAGCATCATTAAGCCTCAGGGAAATCACATTAAAACCATAATGAGCTACAACCCCCCCCCCATCGTGATCGCTATGATGACACAGTAACAAATGTTGGGGAGGATATAGACAAACTGGAATGCTCATATTTTGCTAACAAAAATGTAAAATGATCCTTTAGAAAATAGTTTGCCAGTTTATTAGCCAATTTTTGGGGGGTGGGTACCAAAAATCAAACTCAGGAATTCGCATTTTCCAGGCAGGCACTGCCACTGAGCTACATTCCCAGCCCCTAGCCTGCTTTTATTTTGAGACAGAGTCTTACTAAATTGCCCAGTTAGGATTCCAATTTGAAATCTTCCCGCCTCAGCCTTAGAGTGCTGGCAATACAGGTGCCAGGCCAAGCTTTCATTAATACTTTTTAATTACGTCTGCCCGTCTAGAATCCCCCACCCACATGCACACACACTACTAGGGATTGAACCGAGGGCCTTCAACACATAGTAGATACACATGCCGTCTCTGAGCCACATCCCTGGCGCCTCCTGAGCTAGGGTCTCCTGCTAAGTTGCCCAGGCTGGCCTTTATTCTCTCCCTTAGCCTCCCAAAGTAGCTGAGATTACACAGGCATATGCCCCCTCACCTGGCAAGAAAAATTTTATAATTGAATTTATTTTGCATTTTAACTGATAGTTCTGATAAGTAATTTGGGCTTTATAAACTAATCCACTTTCCATTCATAACAAAAGAGCTCTCACAGATCAGTTTTTGCCATAAACTGTAGGTTGCTGTAGTTCAGCACTCACAGCATTAGCCTTGCCTGAGCATGTATTAGAAAAGCAAATATTCTGACACCAGCAGACTCAGAAATGATCAGAGCCCCTGGGGATATAGTCCAGCTCTCTAATCCTCAGTGCTTGCTGAAATTTGAGAACCATTAGCAGTTTTTGAAAGTTCTCTTTACTACTGTGAGAGATGACAGAACTCCTTTGAGGTGATAGAGCCTCTTTTTGAACCTGCCTGTTGAGAATAACCAGAGATATTTTGTCAAACATACTTTTATTTTAACCAGACCTCCTCCCTTAGTATTTGGGTTTATTGAGTCTGGGTTAGTGCCCGGAATTTATTTTTTCACAGATACTCCAAGTTACTCTAATCATTAAGGAAGCCCATAAACTACTTTGAGAAAAGGTACTATTTCCAGCCAACATTTTCCAAATTCTGGAGCATGAAAAGATCCCTATGGTTTTGTGAGAATTCTTTTTTGTTGTTGTTGTTTGGTTTTTTAAGACAGGGTCTCACTATGTAGTTGAGACTGACCTGGAACTCACTATGCAGCCCAGGCTGGTCTTGACCTCACAACAATCCTCCTGCCTCAGACTCCTCTGAGTGCTGGGATTACAGGTGTGCACCACCACGCCTGGCTTGTGAG